TTTGAAGTTTTCACATCCAGAGCCTCTAACAAACTATACATTTGAGGATTATGCATTGTAAACAATACAATTAAACCCAACAAACACTACAACAAATAATAGATTTTGTAACAAAACTTTATCTTAGCCAATTAATCCACCAATGTAAAATCTATTCCATTAGGCATTTTTTCTTCTTTTTTTTCTTTCTTTTTAAGGCATTTTTCCCTTGGATCAATGTTACCAACCATGAATAAATGTTTCTCGGGGACATGCTTCGAATCTCAGCACCAACAATTTTATTGTTTATTCATTTTAAGCCACTTTTTCCTCGTTCATTTTTAGCAATCATGGGAACAAATAGCTTATATTGCAAAAGAAATGATAAAAATTTGGAAAGGAAACACCACAGTGGGTTGTTTCCATTCAAAAATTTCACCATTTTCTTTTTGGGTTGCAATATCTTCTCGATTTTTACTATCTTTAAAATTCTGCCTTTGAAGATTAATGTTAACGTTCAAGCATATTGTTTACTTAATAAAACAAAACTTGAAATTAATCTCTAAACCAAAATTTTCAAGATATTGTTTTAGCATCTTCAAAGTCGGTGATACAACAACAACACAACAAGAAATGATGTTTTTAAGTTTAGATTACGGAAGAAATTATATTTTCAAGTTTTGTTTAGGGGGGAATAGAGTTTTATTAATGGAACATGAAGTTTAGAGGCAGAATAAGTTAGGTTTAGGGAAAAGGTGAATGAATGAAGAACTTTTACAGACAAACTAGTTAACCTTTTCCCACAATTGGTAAAAATGACCGAGGTGGAAAAAAATTTCACTCCTTTTTTATTTTAAATTAAAACAGATTACCTTTCCTCGTGATTAATAAAATGGACTGAGGTGAAAAGTTGTTCCAATCATTTTTTTAATTTTAATTTTAACTTAAAACAAATATAAACAAAGTTGTAGCTTATTTCCCTTAAGAACATAACAACTCCCTTATTGTTGTTGTTAAGTTGAAATTAAAGGTTTTATGTTTCTGTTTTTGTTGAGATTAGAAAAATGTTTGGTGTTATCGTTGTTATTGAGATTGATCGTTTTATGTTGTTGTTGATATTAAAGGTCTAACGATGTTGTTGTCGTTGTTTAGATTTAGATTGAATGTTATATGTTGTTGTTATTGAGATTGAATGTTTTATGTTGTTGTTTTTGTCGAGACGAGTAAAATATGTATTGTTTTTGTTGTTTTTGTTGAGATAAGTAAAAGGTTTATTATTTTTGTTATTATTAAGATTGAAGATTTTATGTTGTTGTTTTTGTTGAGATGAGTAAAAGGTAAAATTTTGTTGTTTTTATTTTTATTTTTTAAACTATTTGTCCTTTAGGGCTTGTTATTATTCTTAGTGTTGCTCTTGTTATTGTGTTGTTGTTGTTGAGATGACTCAACTTTTTTTATTTTATGTAAAGAGAAAACTAAAGTCCTTGTAAGGTCGTGGTATCAGTGGATAACCTTGTGCCAAAAACAAAATGGGAGTTGTTTCTAGGATAATTGTTTATTTGAATGATAAAGTAATATGTTAGATTTGTGTAAATTTTGTATCTTTTGTCACTTTACTATGTTCTTGACATTTGAGCTTAACAAAATTAAATTTATTTTGAAGTATAAACAATTATATATTTTTATTAATATTGGTATATCATAAAAGCATAACATTAGTTTAGAAAAAAATTAATTGCATCATTTAGAAAGGAATTGCAACCTAAAATGAAAATGGTGACGGTAAGAATTTGAAAAGAAAATATCAAGTTGTGTTGCTGCAACACACACTGCAATAAATAATATTTTTCATGACGAATCTGTCACCTCGAATAATAGAAAATCAAGGTATAAAGTCAAGACGCACTACTTTTTATTAGTTAAAAAAATAAAAAACTATAAATTCCCTCGATTTTTCATAACACCAAGGTGAAAAAATAACTCAGTATAAGTTTCGATTCTCAGCTATCGCAGTTTATAATTTTATTTGTTTATAAGTATAAAAAAAATGTTCTAACCCTTAGATTTTCTATTTAATTTAGGCGTAAAATTATAATATTTTACTATAAAAACACGTTAAACAGATTTTACCCTAATCCTTACAATATAAAGCTGCCCCAAACTCGCAAGCATCATTCTTCGGGATGGATTGTAAGACACGAAAAATCTTCAATGTTCTTCTATCTTAAACAAAATATATTTTCTACCCTTACAATCTACCTCACATAATGGTGTTGATGTTGTATTTTTGGAATAACCCTTAGTTAAAGAAGGGAACTCAACCTTTGAAGAGTACTCAGTTGATAGATTGCAAGTGTAGAAAATTATTTTTGCTTCAAGTTACACAAAGAAGGAAGCTTAACCAGCAAAGAATGGAGCTTAACCAACAAGAAAGTGAGCTTAACCTTTGAACAAAGAAGAGAATGCAACTAAATCTAGATATTAGCGGAGATATTCAGTAATAAGAGTAAAGATTTGTTGTAAATAGTTTATTTTAATATTTTGTGTAAACAAAGTAATTTCAAAAAAAAATATTCACCTCAGTTTTCGTCATCACTGAGGTGACAGTTAAAAAGAGAAGATTAAAAACCGAGCTGTTTAATAATCATATTTTACTATAAAAACACTCATTAAACAGATTTTATCCTAATACTAACTTATATGTAGCCGTCCCAAATTGAGGAAATACTCACCACCGTCCATTTGATCATGATTTGCTACTATAAATCTCTGCGATGCATTGCAAGTGCAGAAACTAAAAATCATATTTTGGAAACATATCTCTAGCATCTTGCATGGGATCTGGACATGAAAAGTAAAAATTCTCATTGGAAAACAGATTTTACAATGTATTTTAATATTCTGTATAAACAATATAATTAAAAAAAAAAACTTATTCACCTCGATTTTCTTCGTAACTGAGGGGATAATTAAGCGTTTTTTTTTTATATTCAACGCCCTTAAATAAAATTTTGTTGTCCATTTAATGTTAATCAACGCTTAAGAATTTGTCATTAGTGATCTGCGTGAAACCTAAGAGACAACCATTATTAAAACATGCTGAATATTAGCATTTCTAACCTACATGAAACATGAAACGTTTGAAACCTAAAGACGCTAGGAAAAATTCTCTATGATGGATTGCAAGAGCAGAAAAATAATTTGGATTCAAGGTTTGCTTTCTTAAATAGTTATTTAATTTGAGCTGAAAGTCATATATTTGAATATTGACTTTAATTATCTTACCCTTTTTTCATCAAAAACAAACGCATGCAAGATCCGTAGAGAATAATCTTGCACCTAACATTTGATCTTCTCCAAGACTCAATAATTCGAAGATCTAAAATCTAAATCTTTAGGGAATTCGATTTTTATCTAGATCTCTAAAAAATTTGATTTTTATTTTAATATTATGTAAATAATGTAATATTCTTAGTAAACAATATAACTATCTTTTTTTAAAAAAAGAAATAATCTTACCCTTCGGTTTTCAAGATAAACCGAGATATAAGATATGCTAGTTTTGAAAATAATAAAGTGTTACCGTTGGGGTTCAAACCCATGTGCATATAACTTTACCCCTCGATTTTAATTCCACCGAGGTGATAAGTGGCGAGTTTTCTATCGCCCTTTATTACCTCGCTTTTTTAGCCAAGATATTATGCATTTCACATTCGAGATAAAAAAACTTTTTTTGTAGTAGTGACAACTTATAAACATCAAGTTGTGTTTTTAAAATACAACTTTATATTTCCTTTTCAATTACTTACTATTAACCATTTTTTTTGGTTTAAATTCTTCTCTAGATGATGCAATCTCTTTGTCAAACAAATGATCATATTTTTATAATATATATATATATATATATATATATATATATATATATATATATATATATATATATATATATATATATATATATATATATATATATATATATATATATATATATATATATATATACTTGTGTTTTAAAATAAATTTTGTTCAGCTCATCGTATAAAAAGAACAGTAAAAGTGACAAAAATTTATTTTCCCACAATTAAAAGTAATAATCGAGCGAAAAATTTATCCCTAACACATATTCCCTAGAGTTTAAAGGCACATTTGTGGAGGAAAATTGAGCTTTTCACCTCGATAATAATTCAGACCGTGGGGGAAAATCAATACAATGCACCATTTTAAAAATGTCAAAAGGATGTTTCTGATACTCGAACTCACGATAAATCAACTTTTTACCTCACTAAAATTTTTAACTGTAGTAAAAAGTGGTGCATTTTCTATGACACCCTTTATTACCACATACAACCGAATATACTGAAACTTTTTTTTCAGCCGAGTTGATAGATACTTTTTATAGTAGTCAAATTCAAAAAAGAAGATTATATATTTAAACTCTCACATATTCTATTTTGTGACAAAATACTAGTTAAAAGCCCTAAAAATCCAATTCCAAAAGAAACATCACAAAAAGAGGAAATCATTTACACAATTGAAAAGTATGAAGAAAATTCAAAGAAGCCAAAAGAAAAAAGCTCAGGGAAGTTAGTAAAGAGGCTCCCCAGAAAAAACCATCACAGATAATTGAGGCAACAAGACAAAGCAATGTTCTTACCTATTTCAAAACACAGTGCCATGGCCTAAGGATGTATGAGTATGAAGCTTAATAACAAGAGGTATTTATACTAGTATTATATAATGGCGTCAGAGGATGAAATATCCTTCTCACAACACAAATTTTTTAACCTTTATATCTCTCATATCTGATAATTACTTATGTCTCTCACATAAGAGTCGAAACACCAAAAGAGTACATATGCATGTTCATAATTGAATTTCTAAACAAGTTCAAACTCACTCTAATATATTAGACAATACAATATGGTTTTACCTAAAAGAAACAAAAAGCATTAAGAACTCTATAATTAAGCACGCAAAAGCATTAAAATTTCTATATTTACATTAGACTTGTAATTCATATACTAGCTAGCTAGAACTGGATATCGATCAATGCAATCACACCATGGTCCTTTATGAGACTCACCAAGTATTGGCCTAAAACACTTCAAAACAACACTACAACACTTAGGACCACTTCCCATTCCAAGTTCCCAAATGTTATCACCTTTCTGCACTCTTTCCTTGGCTTCCAAGTAAGCAAGTTCATACCACAATGATGAAGAAGACTGATTTCCAAATCTATGCAATGTCATCAAAGCAGCTTCAATCTCTCTCTCACCAAGCTTCAACCCTTTTCCTACTTCTCTTATCACCGATCTCCCGGAACACGGCAAACAAAAATGTTGTATCACGGTCTTGAAATCCGGCACGTAAATCGCCTCGGATTTCATAAGGTTAAACCTCTTTTTTATCAGAGAAACGCCATACCAAAATTTCTCAGAAACCGGCAATATTTCATAACCTAAAAGTGAAATATTAGAGCGAAGTGTTTCACCGGCTACTTGAAGTAAATCTCTCTTCAGTGTCACACCAAGTTTTCCTTCTGAATCTTCTTCCCTTATAGCAGAAAAATAAGCTTTATCATCAAAAGCTATTAGTGTTCTAAGTGTCTTAAGTAACAAATATTTCGCGTTTTTACTCGCTTCGTTTTTGTTTGAGAGAAGAATAGCCGCACTTCCCATTCTAAAGAGACAGTTTATAAGCAACATTGATTTTTCTTTACCTTGATACCAACCACTGGACAAAATCTCTGTGCTTAAAACAATAGCATTAGAGTTTTTATGAACTCTTAGAAGATTGTGAGCCATGTCAATACAAAGAGCACTAGCACTGCACCCCATACCAGAGACATTATAGGTTTTAACGTCGCTTCTCATAGCATATTTGTTAACGATAATTGATGTTAAAGATGGTGAAGGACAAAAGCCACTACAGTTTAAGATAAGTATGTCTATATCAGAAGGTGCAACTTTTGTTTTTGCAAAAAGATCATCCATGATAGGGAAAACCACCATGTGAAGTTCTTTGATGGATTCTGAATGTTCGGTTTTCGGTGGGATGTAGTGCAGGGAAGGAGGGAGGAAAGTTTCTTCACTCAGGCCAGAAGAATGAAGGACTTTTTCCATGAAGGAAATGCTTTCATTGTCAAAACATTCAAACAAAGAAGCGTTTTCAAGGAATGTTGAGAAAGGTACCCTACAATGCTTTGGTGGTTTAAGACATGAGAAATCAATGAGGTAAATAGGAAAGGGTTTTGAGAAGAAGTGTTTTAGAAGTAAAGAGAGTAGGAAAAAACATAGAAGAAGAAAATGAAACATTACTTTATGGTTTTGTAGAAGGATGAAGAGTTCAAAATATGTTGCTAGTGTGATGCTAGAAAGCAATAAAAAAGGTAAGAGCTTTGGAAAGAGATGGTTTGATAAGAGAGTAAAGTTTGTGCATGCATTGAAGATAGACTTGGAAGTGGCTTCCATTAATGTGACAATAAATAAATGGTGGTGAGTTATAAGACCTATGCACAAGAAGCTAATTATAAATAGATGGAACTTTTTGAGAAATGATAATACTAAGAAACTTCTTACTACTTTCTTTAGTTGTGTTTTCAACTTTGAAATGTGAATGAAGTCATTTAATGAGGAAGCAAAAAAATATATTATATTTCTAATTTTCTATAATTTCATTATTTTTATAGTAGAAGATGATTATGCCTACTAGTATTAAGGTATGAAATTTAATATTCTAATTATTTTGATAAATTTTAATTTGTTAAATTTTATTTTAAAAGAAATGTTAATAAGTGCTTTAATATTATAAAAAAATTAAATATTAGTCCCCATTATAAATCATAATTAATTATTTATAAACTATTTAATATTGATATTTCTAATATGTTATTTATTTAATTTAAAAATATTTAATGTGAGTAAGCAAATGGTTTTTTACTAAATATTAACTTAAATTGTGTTTTACATAAAATTTAATAAATCAATTATAATTAATTCAATTTCTTAATTAACATAATATTAGTTTTTACCATACTCAATGGAGAGAGTTGTGTTCAAGAACACTTGTTAAAAAAAATAACGTATCTTTGGTTTTTTCATATTTCACCTACCTTATTACCTGCCAACGTACTCTTAAGTGCTCTTAAATTGTTGCAGGTAAGGTTAGGTGAGAACACAAATAATTGTTATATATATATATATATATATATATATATATATATATATATATATATATATATATATATATATATATATATATATATATATATATATATATATATATATATATATATATATATATATATATATATATATATATATATATATATATATATATTTATTTATTTATTTATTTATTTATTTGAAAACAATTTTTTATAATAAACTTATCATTTATTTTGAGTTTAATGATACTACTCTGTCACTTAAAAAAAAGTACTACACATACATTTAATCATAATACTTTAAAGTGTTAAATCATATAACTAATTTAAAATTTATAAATTAATTTGGCGGAATACATGATTGTCATTAATTAACAATGTAAAAATATTTTACACGGTCAGGACACCATCCATTTTCTCTTTTTTTTTTATTAATTTATAATTTATTTTATAATATTATTTTAAATAGTGTTCTAACACTTTTTTTTAATTTTATCTTTATTATTTTAACTAAATTTCACTTTTACTCATTATAATTTATTTTAATATAAAATAAAAAATAATTATGTATTATACTAGACTCAACCCAATGTAATTAATAATCTAAATAAACTTAAGTCATACCATGTGAATTAGGGGTGGACATCGGTCAGATTCGGACGGATTCGGATGGAAAAACCTTAATCCGAATAAATCCATAGATGATTATATCCCATCCACTGTTAGAAAAATTTATGTTTTAAATCTTGATATCATGATTTTCACACTATTGCACTATTCTATGAAAAACAGTAAAAACGTACCCTGAATCATAACGTTGTTTCTTGTCCTGTTCTCGATCTTATTTTTAATTGTTCTCTCCTCTCTTTCTTCTTCCTTTTGTGTATCTTTTGATGATGAAGATACTTTTGTTTACTTGTGAGAAAATGAGAAGGAATGAGAAAAGTTGTTGTTATTTTTTTAAAGATATCTATTTATAGGCTTCTTACTCCAACAATCATATTTCATTCTAAGAGACATGTCCCATCATCCATTAAGAGAGAGAAGAGGGATTTAAATTTTGAATTTCAAAATTAAAACCCCATTGACTTAATTATCCATCAACCTAAACAATTATCATATTAATGTATCTTTTATTTAAGTCAATCTTTAATTTTACATGAGTCATATTTAATAGATTAATAAATTAATCAAACAATCTCCCACTTGACTCATGTGACAACTTGATGTTTTAATCTTATATCATAATTGTGCATCATTCATTAGAAGCACCAAGTCACTATCTTTAATGAATTGAAATGATCGGATCATGGCGGTCACAAGTTATTCATCAACTTGATTCCTTCCATGTATCACAAATCAATCCAGTTCAAATAACTTTAAGGGGTACATTAATGTGCCTCTTATGTCTCTTCAAAGACACCTTTGTCATCACATATTAACAATAATGTATACAACATAATATAGATAACAAAACTAAGCAGAAACATAACCTTAATTGAATCCACAAGTGTCATACAATACAAACATTAAATTATACATGTATATATACCGATTATATTATAATGTTAACAAGGACTTTTCCATAATGCCCATCCTTTCTACGTGGCTAACAAGTCTTAGGCGGTAAACTTTTAGTTAACGGATCTGCTATCATTAAACCTTTACCAATATGTTCAAATGACACTTTTTGTTTCTGCACTTCTTCTTTCACTAATAAGTACTTCAACTTCATGCGTTTGACACCCTTTAAATACTTATTATTCTTAGAGAAAAAGACAATTGTTGAATTATAACAATAAATCTTTAGCGACTTAACTATACTCTCGACAATATCAAACCTTAAAGTAAAATTTTGCAACCATAATAATTGAATTTTGGCCTCAAAACATGCCGCAAATTCAACGTTTCCATAATATTTCTCCTACAGTAAGGAGAAAACATTCTTAAATACGGATTTCTTTGATTCCACACATCCTACAAAGTTTAAAACTGAGTAGTCAACCACTTTAAGGTGATCTGACCTTCTACATGTGAACATGTAATCTTTGGTGCCTTGTAAGTACCTAAGAACCTTCTTTCCAACTTTCCATGACTTGTATGAATGTGACTGGATCATAATCAATGTTCAAGTCACATTTATGCTCAAGTGAGTAATTAATTATTGTCTCTTTGTGTTGTATGACGCTAACACAACTATATGGACACCAACATGATGAGATTCTTTAGGCGAACAAGATTCTCCACAAGTCTCCATAATGTCCGATATATGTGATTTTTCACTCCCACTGAGCTGACCATTTTTAATAAACCGAGCATTACTAAACTCTATTATACTCATACTATGATTAGGACAGTAAAACCTATACCATTTTGATATGGATTATACACCTTTAATTTTGTTTAATAGCCTTAAACATGAAGATACTTTACACTATATTTCCTTCATGTCTATATTTTATAAGGAGTTTTAGGAACTGTCTTGCTAGGAATCATATTAAAGCAAGTACACAACGACCCTTAATGTGTATGTCCATAATGATAATGATACATTACTATAATTTAATATTTTGGCCTAATCATGTCCATGAGAGTACATTCTATTTTTTCAACAGCATGCTAGTAACCACAAACATTTAAGACAAGCTCATACGTTCACTACTACGAAAAAGGAATTTAACAACGATTGGGAAAGATATATAACAATGGTTGGGAAAGAATTTAAGACAAGCTCATACGTTCACTACTACGAAAAAGGCGTTATTATGTAGCATGTCGTTGTATATGCATACTTACAATCACGGTCCTGGGATCGTTGTTGTATTCTAGAAAGCGTGTGTCATATCACAACGATTAGTTAATCCAACCGTTGTGATATAATTTGGTTAGCGTTCAATATCATAACAGTTAGTTAATCCAACCGTTGTGATAGAATCTGGTCAGCATTCAATATCACAACGGTTCGTTAATCCAACCACTGTCAAAACTTCCTCTGTTTTAAATATCCAATTCTCTGCTTTTCAAATTCTTCCCATTTTTTATTATGTAACTATTATAACCACATTAGACAAATTACAACAACCTATATTTTTGTTAACCATGGATAAAGAGCATAAAAAACAACTAACATTGTGCATCAAAAGTCAAAATTAATAGTTACATCAAACACATGTACAATATGTTTAAGTTAAAAATAATATTCTCATCATCAATACAGAAAAAAATCATTAGCACATCTCAATAAATTAATCAACCAGCTGGAGGACCCTTAAGCACATTGTAGACATACGCCCAACATTTACGAAGATCTACATGCATGATAATAATTCAATAGTCAACTTATATATTAATATATGTAAAAAAATTATGACATATATACCTTATCCCATGAATCAACAATGACGGCAAGGAAAATATTTAACATGTGTTTCATGACATAATACCCACACTCGTAAGGCCCAAGTTGTTTTCTCGTCTACAAATTTAAGCAATAATTACATGAATATAACCACACATGAATGTAAATGAAAGAAACAGGTAATCGGGCCACTCACTTTTGGAAAGATCCATGAGGGATTTCTTCTAAACATTGTTCATCATATTCACGTGTTCCACAACACTATACATTGAAAATGAATTAAACATATTACATGATAAACTAATCACAATGTCAAAGAAAATGAATTAAACATACACTTACGAATTAATAATGTCTTTCATTTTCTTTTCGAGTAGATCATGCAAGGAACACAGTACAATTACCGTATTCGTCTTAAATTGATATGATGATCAATTGCCAATGACCACTGAATAAACACGAGCATATATATTATTAGTATTTGATAAAACAAAACTAAATATAGAATACATAAACATCAATTACAAAAATACTTACGAACAAAGAAATGGTGCTAAGTAACATTTTTTCCCTCCTCATTTAACAGTTTTTTCAAGTAGTCTTGAATGTCTTTTGGTTGATTAAATGCCCATCAAATAAAAAGCGGATCCAAGATTCCATAAATACTCGATTTATTTAACTATACAAACACGGTGAACGTACCTAAATGGTTAAAGAAAATGACATAAATTAAGGGAGGAAACACAAAAAATGATTATGTTCTATAATGACATGTATATTCAACTATACACTTACGTGCACCAAACTTGTAATATCCCTACGTCCAACCACTTATATCCACCAAGTAAATCCCTTACATCATCAAAACTGTAATAGAATAACTCAAAACATAAACAATATTCTAGCGGGAGAGGGTGCGCATCATTTATCACCGCAATGTTCAAGTA